ACCAATGGGTTGCAAGTGGGTTTTTAAAGTAAAATTAAAGGCTGATGGAACCTTAGATAGATGTAGAGCGAGGTTAGTTGCCAAGGGTTTTAATCAAATTCATGGTGTTGATTGTTTTGATAGTTTTTCCCCTATTGCAAAACCAGTGACTATCAAGTTGTTCATTGCTATTGCTACTGCCTAACTTTGGCCTATCTATTAGCTTGATATTAATAATGTATTTTTGCATGGTGTGTTGAATGAGGAGGTATATATGTTACCACCCCGGGGATATAATCAGGCTGTTGCAGGCCAAGTTTGTAAGCTCAAAAAATCCCTCTATGGTCTGAAGTAAGCAAGCCGACAATGGAATTCTGAATTGTGCAAACATCTTATTGCTTTTGGTTTTCAACAGTCTTAGCATGATCATTGCCTCTTTACTATGTACACCTCTTCTTCCTTCACTGCACTCATAGTATATGTTGATGACTTGCTTCTTACTGGCAATGATGAATCAGAAATTAATCGCGTTAAGGCCTCTTTGCACAAGACTTTTACTATCAAGGACTTGAATTATGCCAAATATTTTCTTGGCATTGAAATTGCTAGATCCACTGACGGCACATATTTAAATCAGAGGAAGTATGCCCTTGATATTATCACTGATGCTGGTCTTTTGGGTGCTAAGAGTACTTCTACGCCATTACCTAAAGGCCAGAAGTTCTTTGCATCTGACCAAGATCCTCTTCCAGATCCTGAGCCATTTAGAAGACTTATTAGACGCCTTTTTTATCTTACTCTTACCAGACCTGACATTACTTTTGGTGTTCAACAGTTAAGCCAGTTTGTGCAGACTCCTTCCCTTACTCATTGGAATTCAGCATTTCATATTTTGCGTTACATTAAAGGTACTTTGTCGAAGGGCTTATTTTTTCCTGTTACTAATACGTTTGTTCTGAAGGCTTTCAGTGATGTGGATTGGAAAAATTGCCCTGACACTAGCCATTCCTTAACCGGTAATTGTGTTTTCTTTGGAGGAGCCTTAATATCCTGGAAAACCAAGAAATAGACTACAGTCTCTAGGAGTTCAGCTAAGGCAGAATACCAAAGTTTGGGTGCTACGGTCTGTGAATTACAGTGGATTTCTTATATTCTGCACTATTTCCAGATTTCCGTTTCACTTCCGATTCCCCTTTGGTGCGACAACCAGGCAGCCCTTCACATTTGTGCCAATCCCGTTTTTCATGAGCGGACTAAGCATCTTGACATTGATTGCCACGTTGTTCGTAATCAATTCAAGCTGGGTTTTGTTCTTCCCCGTCATGTTTCTAATACTGATTAGATTGCTGATATTTTCACTAAGTCTTTGCGTGCTCCACGGTTTCGTTTCTTACTGTCCAAGCTGGGCTTGATGGACTTCCATCAATGTCCCGCTTGAGGGGGGATATAGATCTGTGCACTCAATGTTTACATTTTATATTCCGTAGGACCTCAGTTGCAATTATTCTATCTGTCCTTCCTTTTCTGTTTTGATAGTTTGGTACCTTGAAAGGAAATTACTTTCATCTTTCCGTTATGTTTTTTTTAGCCGGTATATATACCTGATTTTGCTCTGTATTTCAGTGAGAGTTTTATTGAATAAAAGATTTCAATTCTCCTATTCTTGATTTCTCCAAGTTCTGGAGTCAAGTTTCTTTTTATTTGGCCTATATGGCGTTGCCTCAATTGAACAACCCTCAAATGTGCAAGTTCTTCAATCTAGGCTTCTTGTTTGTTCAAAGCTCATAAAGGGTTTTGACAGTTACTTTACTTGGTATTCTATTAAGAACGTAAACTGCAATCTCCAGTGCTTCTCTCTAGATAGATTCTGGTAACGTGGAACGACTAATGATACTATTTATCATGTCTTTAAGTGTTTTGTTTCGTCTTTTAGTTGCATTATTCATGCTAGAGGACCGTGGGACGATTTTGCACTCCACTAGGTATTTAGCAAAAGGCTATCGACATTGTTCTTCTGATCTGTTGTATCTGTCGTAGGATTCATCACCATGGGTAGACCGACGTGTTTTATTATTTTACTGAATTGATTTTTAGTTTCACCTTTGTAAGCCTTGAACATGTCCAGTATGACAGTTGACCATTCCAAAAAATTAAAGTGAATGAACCACGGATATCTGTATATATTAGTTCTCGGACGTCCAAAATCCTATTGACATCTAATCTCTTTATATCATCCCTTCCCCATATTGCAATTAACATAAACACTTTAGTCTAAAAATTAAAGGGATCAAGAATTCCTTCTGACACAAGCTTTTCGATTCTCTTTTGAGATATGTAACATAATCACTTGTGTCATAACGAAACGAAATTCTCATTGATTAATTTACATTTAATACTACGTGAATTCACATGTAAGGTTTCATTATAAAAGGCAAGCGAATTAAGCAAGTATAGATTGTCATACACAGATAAATAACTAGTACTCACAACATATGGATTAAGAAAAAGACTAAACTAATTATTTTCAAATGAACAAGAATAATGGACTTTATCTAGTACAGAAATAGAAATCAAATTTCGTCTAAAAGACGGTACTACAAATGTCTCTTTCAATTTCAATTAAAAATCAGTCTTTAATAATAATCTAAAAATTCATATAGCCTCAACTTCATCTAATTTTCCGTCGCCCGCTTAGATAAATCTTTCAGCATCATTTAGCTTTCGGCTATTCAAGCAACCTTGCATAGATACATTTGTATGAGTAGTGGCACCAAAATCCAAAGGAGATTCAATCCATCTTCATGTGTCAAGAGTGGTATTTGATACAATCTATCTTCATGCGTCTCAAATTTTCATAAAAGTAATAGGCAGGTAATTCATCATTTTCGAGCTTTTACTTTTTTTGTTAGGTGAACCAAATGTAATTTCCTTATTTTTTTTCTTTTCTTGAACTTGTCCTTAAATGTACTTGTCAAGTGAGTACTTTCAGTTCTCTCTTACTTTAGCAATTCTTCTTCTTTCAGCCAATAAGAGATAAGCTCATCAAGAGTCCACTTCTCATCGCTGTAACTAACATTAAATTGGTTGAATTGTGTAGGAAAAATCAAATGTACGAACACACTTATCAAAGTCCACTTTTTATCAACGAAACTTTTATTCATAAGTGCAACATGTTGTTTAGTCCTTAAGCAAGGTCTACATCCATACACCTAAGAACAACGTGTACATTATCTTTCCAATCCCCAAAGTTGGCACTTTTAAGCACATCAATAAAGTTGATGTTGACCGATATTGTAGAAGCAGATGAATTAACTGAATAGAAAATAAAAAAAATATATGTTCACAGGAGGATTCATATTAAACAATCAATATATTTAAATAATGGTATGCCACATCATAAGAGATCAAACACAACATTGTCATTTAGTTTTTGAAAAGAAATAACAACTTGTACGTGTTCTCTTGATGTAGTAATCATGTACTGACAATGAACTACGTCAAACATTAAGTCTATCTTTGGATTATTCAATATTCACATAATTTTTTTTATTATGTCACATATTTATCACAACATGTGTACATATAATTTGGCTAAATATTGATTTTCCTTTGAGCCAGTCAGTACCCGCATGAATTACGTAAACACAATCATCTTAATATTCCAAATAAATCAATTAAAAAAGAGAGGATTCTTTGGTAACATACTGCTTTAACTAATCTATTTTAGAATATTAGACTTCTGAAATTAATTATACAAATTTTGAAATTGATTGCTACTTTAAAAAAATTTCCAAATCTATCCAGATGAATACACGGATCGAGTGCCAGTCGAACGACATATACACCGCTCAAGCTCTAGCGGAGGGTTGGCGCCTAACGAGTGGCAAATAACCTAGAGAGCTAGCCTAGCGGCTGGAGAGCCCTAAGCACCGTCGTTCGAGCTACAACTAAGCAGTTAGTGAGTGCCAGCTCACTACTTTCAGTGCTCAAGGTGAGGTTGATGGGCACTGAGCACCTTCTGTGGAGAATGTTGAATGGAAAGCCTCGCCGCCCCTCCAATGAGAAAGCGCCACTTGGCCATTATGTCACCCCTTGTGTAAGGGGTGATGTACCCCTAGTAAGACCGATATTTTAATACACTGAAAAAAGTTGATTACACATTCACTTTTGAGGTGCGCACCTTCTGTGGAGAATGTTGAATGGAAAAGCTATGTGCTTTCGCTTTCAACATTCATGCATTAAGAATAGGTTCAAAAATGGGTTAAAAAATAGAGAGATGTGTCGACACAATTGGGTAGTTTGAAAGAAAAAAAAATCCAAATAGGCGGCGCTGTCGGTCACTTAGTCCATCATTTCCCTGTAGCATGCTCAATCATCTTTATTCTTCAAGGTGTGCAATTTGCAACATTGATTTTTGTTTATCAAATCACACATTTATTGAATAACAAATTACCAGCATTAGTTCTAAAATCTCGTGGCTAATTATTAGTATTGAGAAAGTACGTTAGGTCATCTGACCCGTCAATGGGTTTCGATGGTGGGGACTGAATTTGGGGCACACAGACATTATATGGTGGAAAAATTTTGTGGAGGTCAATTACGTTAGTGTACAGGATTCTCTTTCTTAACATTTACCGCACAAAAGTTGATCTGGTGATTGGGTGATTCAGGGAAAATCTAATTTTTGGTGCTATCGAATCATCTCCCACTGGAAAGGATAAAATCAAACGGATTTCATATTGATGTCGACAGAGATTGTTGAGTGGATTTCGACAGAATTATTGTGTGCAGTGTATTTATCTCGCAGTTGAGGTATGTGTTTCTGCAGTACCTTTTTAGTGCGTTATATAACTCAGTATTAAATCCGTAGTTTATTTTATCAGTTCCTAAGATCAGAACTGAGATTGTTTATGAATTCAATGTAGCTGCGGCTTAATGGAGCAAACGATTGTTGAAAATGGAGTTACAGACACTCAACTGCTTCCTGTCGTGAAGATGCATATGGTGGAGTTGTAGTGGAAATGGAGAAGCCTATGGACCCTAATTTCTTTCATAAAATGCTTAAAGATTCGCTCTTACGATGGAAGCTGCAGGTGTTTGTATCATTTACTACATCTTCCTTTTTGTTGTGATTCTCCGATCATGAAAGAGGAGTTATAAGAGGAAAAACTATTCTATTTCTTACTTGAATATAATTTTACAAGAGAATTTACAAACTCAAAAAACCTCTCAAAACTCTCTCCAATCTCTCTGTTTTCCTTCTCTCTGGGTGTGTATAAAAACAAAAGAATTGAGGCTCTATTTATAGCCATCGGGAGATGAAGGTGGAACGAGTTTTTCAACAATACACAATTAATTGGATGGTTGGCTGCTGCAAAAAATTTCTTCCATTTAACTAGCCAATAGATGCAGTAAAAATGAAGGCTGGGCCGCTGGGTGGTTGGATTGTTGAGTCAACAAAAGGAGCTAAAGGCTGGACATTACACTTTTATGCTAAGCTTTACCATACTCGAATATATTCCACTCTTTCGAAAACCACGAAGAAAATTTCTCTCTCTCTCTATATATTTTGGCAATGGCCATGCATCCATATACGTGCACAATTTTAGTAAGCAAATATTGCCAAGATTAATAAAGGATTGCAAAATACTGCAAAGGCTTGCAGAAGTCTTCCAATTTGAGCTTGGTACTATTAACATTTGGTGCATACAATTGTTGATTTTCTTGTCCATCCTATAATGCATTTTGGATGCTTAGGAGCCAACTTCTCCATACCACTCCATTTAACTTAAGTCTTCCACAACTTTTTTCTTTTCTTCTTCTTCTTCTTCTTTTTTTGTGTGTGTGTGTGTGTACATTTTTGAGTTACATTCTATGGGATGACCTGCTTAGAATTATAATCAGAATTTCTTGCTAAACAATAATGCTTGTTGATGTTTTTCCCTTTGTTAGCTATTGGCATGTGTCGAACTGCAAAATTTTCTGCTTGTATAACTGTGCAGGTGTAAGATGATAGAGAGAGATTTTTCGTTGAAAGTTCTTCATGCATAACCTGAGATTGCGAGCTGTACCTTTCATCATAGAACCAAATGCCTGGTTCATTTGTAGGCTTAAAGGAAAGAGGACTTTTGCTGCAATTAAACTACAGTTGATATTCAGTCTGATTTGCAAGTTTTGTTTAGCTAATTACTGAATTTAGGCCGTGTTTGATAGGTCACATTTTTCGGGAAAGCAGGAAAATATTTTCCACTTGCCACTTTTTTGGCTGTTTGATTGGCGAACTTTTCCATGGAAAATATTTTTCGGATTTTCCCCACACGGGTGCAATTTCCAGGTTTTTGATGAAAATGTTTTCCCGCCTCTTTTGTGGGAAAATATTTTCCGGGCTGACTGGAATTTTTTTTTTTTTTGGCAATGGAAACAAATGTCATAACTAATAGTAAAAAAAATTTCACTTTAATGGACATTTTTCATGTAAAACAAAGTCAAACGAATACTAAACTTTGATAAAAAAATGATTTTTAAGGAAACAATTTTTTTTCCTTTTTTTTTTACTTTTTGGCAATAGAAAATTTTATAACCAATTGTGGAAAAAAATATCACTTTAATGGACAATTTCCATGTAAAAGAAAGTCAAACGAATAGAAAATTTAAAAAATTTTCGAGTGGAAAATTTAAAAATTTTCCGGACCAGTCAAACACACTTGAAATCATTTTCCCTGCAAAACATTTTCTAGGCAAATCTTTTCCCTGTAAAACATTTTCTTTCCACCCATTTTCCACCCATGCAATCAAACGCACCCTTACAGAATAGAGCTATTTAATTTACTATTTTCTTACATGTTTTGATTAATAACATGTTTAAGAAATGTAGGATGGTACTGCAACACTTTGGCTTCGAATTATTCTCATTGTTTCTACTGGCTGCCCTTTTACAATGTTTCACTGGTCTTGGAAAGTTGTGGACAGAAACATCTAATTTCCTTGAATCTATTCTGCAACTACTTGTGCTGCCGAACTTGTAAAAGAATTTCTATCAGCCACACTCAATTTACATGACAAATTCAAATAACCACAATTTAGATAGTTTTCTCAGAATAGGCTCCATTCGCGTAATATAAGACATTCTCCACTTGGAAGTGTAATGTTGACCCTGTACATATATCGGTAATCATCTGATTCGCCTTTCAGATAATTACCAGTTCTGAGTGAAACTAATTATTCCTTGCATCATTATTTATTGTAATTAGTATTTGCAAGCTATCAACATGCTTTAGAAGATTGCTAAATGGTGATGTACTGCAGAGTCAGCTGTTTACGTTTCATTATGGCATGGATTTCTTGTGGTCAATAAAATAGAAATTATCTAAAATGTATTCAACACCATCCTAAATATTTCTGGTTTTCTGTAAATTTTATGATTGTTTGATGAAGTTATTTATCAGGGCAAGAAGGGTGTGTGGATCAAATTACCAATTCAACTTGCAAATCTTGTTGAAATTGCAGTCGAGGTAATTTTTCTATTCTATCACATTGGAATTACACGTCTGAATTTTATAAATTCATAACCAAATTCCTTAAAGATCTCAGTAACAAAATGCATGTCTATTTGGCAATACATTGATGGTCCTATTTAAGATGCAACTCTCCATTTCTAGGCCAAATGATTCCTAGAAGTGTCATTTGTAAAAGATTTAAACTTTATTGTATAGATTATTTGAATGTGATGTCATTCATAATGTGTTAAAAGGTAAAATCCAACAAATTGGAAGGTATGAATGATTGGATGCTGATTTGGCACCTGTCAACAATTTGGAGCAGCTTGTCTAAAATCAATTCAAGATTTTGAAATCATCTTCTATACCATGTTATGTTGGATAAGTTATTAAAAGTTAATCAAACGACACAATAATAATATTGGTTGCAGGAAGGATTTTGGTATCATCACGCTGAGCCTCATTACTTGATGCTAGTATACTGGATTCCTGAAACTATCAATACCATCCCTGCACATGCAACACACCGAGTTCGAATTGGTGCCATTGTCCTGAATGATAAAAGAGAGGTACTTCAACATTTCTGTAACTTCTGGCACTTGTATATTTGTTTTATTCATCTATGACTAGTTTCTCATGTCACTCTGTATAGCACAATCTAGAGACTGGAACTGATTGGCTCAATTATTCTTTTTTTCTCTGTAGGGATGACTTGATTACCCTTCTAATATATTTTGTTTAGAAAGAATGGGTTTGGCTTCAAAGCAATGCATTGAATGAATCCTCACCTAATATAACTGAAGTTTTCTTTAATCTGAATTGACCTATTTATGCATTCTCTATTCTCATCATAGTAGGAAAATGACATTTTCTCTTTCGATCTTCTTGATGATCCATTCCAATTATACAATTTTCCTTGTATTCATTTGATTAGTATAAATCAATGAACTAGAATTTATCTTATGTACATTGATGCTTTAGTAAAGAAGATGCTGGTCTTTAAATGGTAATTAGGAAGACAGTGACCTAGAGTTAATAAAATTTCCAAGCATGTCAACTGCAAATTATCCAATAGGCAATCAATGTTTATTGAAATGACTCTCTAGAGTTCATTATTGCAGTTTCTAAATCTTACAACTTCTCTTCTACAGTTGCTTGTTGTTCGAGAAAAGTATGGCAGGTTTCGGGAAAGAGGAATTTGGAAGATTCCAACCGGAATACTTGACCAAGTATGCACATAAAACTGAAGTTTAAGTTCAGGGTGGAAGAGCTTCTTCTCTTTTTAGTTCTACCAACAAGTTACTCTTTTAATCTACAGGGTGAGGATATTTCTGTAGGTGCAAAAAGAGAAGTACAAGAGGAAACAGGAGTAAGTAATCATGAATGTTTTATAAATTAAAACGTGCATTCATTTTTCTTAAATATTTTGAGAGAGTAGAGGTATTCATTTTTGCAGATTGATACAGAATTTACTGATGTTCTAGCATTCAGGTATAAACTTCGCATGAAATGAAACTCAAGTTTCATCATTTGAAGATTGTTTTCACCTATTTATACCCTGCCACAAAGTTGAACTATAAGATTTTCTTTTTGCTTCAACTGATAGACAAATGCACAAGTACTTTTTTGAGAAGTCGGATTTATTCTTTCTTTGCATGCTGCGACCTCTAACCTTTGACGTTAAAAATCAAGATTCAGAAATCACGGGAGCTCAGGTAATCCTTGATATGATTTGTCTTTTCAACTGACAAATATTAAACCACGAGAGATCTAACAACTTTTATTATGTGCCTCTTAATCCTAACTAGTGGATGCCAATTGAGGAATATGCTGCACAACCTTTAGCGCATGAAGACTGGATGTTCAAGGATGTCAGTGATTTATGCTTAGCAAAACTAGACAAGAATTACAATGGATTATCTCCATTGCCAATAACATCATTTTTCAATGATTTGGTAAGCTACCTTTATGTCAACAAACATGACTTATTGTGCTTTGATAGTTAAAGGTTGAGATACTGTTGGTCAAACAATTACTAAGAAATAATTGAATTAGAGTTGTACCTACAAGTGCTACATGTAATCTGATGAGAGGAATACAATTAATTGTCACGAGCTCCTCTTAAATGTTCCGAACGGTGGAGCAACTGGAACATTGAGAAAGTCAATAGACACCACAATTGCTGAATTAATTATACCCTTCTATTTTATATTGGTTCAAATATGTAACTAAATCATGATTATAATTGTTGACCCCGAAAAATAGCTCCAGCACGTGGCCAACAGAAAAGTCTTCAAGTCAGCTCTTCCCTGCACACGTAGCACACCGTTTGTCACCCGTGGCCTTTCCCAAAGGGGTAGGAGCGATCGCAAGCACTCCGACGGTCAAGTCAATTTATAATTCAACCAGAAAAGGTTCGTCGGCGGTAGAACACTCGCTGAAAAGTGGTTGATAAAGTGTATGGTGATAAAGTGCCAATACTTAAGGGAAGATAATACTTCAATTTGCAATGTAGTAAGGGAAAATCTTGATTCAACCATATGTGATCCCAATGTGTGGACCTCTCCTTCTTCGGCACAAGGAATGGATATTTATACTAAAAATGGGAAAAGGAGAGCCGTTGGATGAGGAGACACGTGTTATCAAATCCTCAGGTCTCATCCCATCCTAGATGTCAACCCATCCCTTCATAGGTTGGCTGGCATTGAATGTCTCTGACAAAGGCAGCTGAATTGACCGTTTAGGTCCTGCCACACGCCCCATCAGTCAAATATTTGACTTTGGAAAGATCTTTGTACGAGAGATCTTTGACGGGCGAGGCATTGCAGAAGCGGAGTGCGAGCCTTTGCATCCACGGTGTATTTGCAGATGAGTTTGGTTCCTTCGCTGACGTATGTTCAGTTCGTTCCTCATGTAATCACTTTTGCATGTACAATTCGCTCGTCCCATGTACAATCACCTCGATCGACGCGTGATGTGGTGTGGACCACCTCTACTGACACGTGGCGAATGAGATGGCGAATTTGACATAGGCCCGTAACTATAGTCCCGCAAGTTCGTGTATGGATATTTATATAGTACGATGACTTTTAGTTCTAATTGTTTTTGAGTTAGGACGCATGGGGATGAGCATTGGAGGTGGCCAGTTGGGTGGCGAACATCCATGATTTCGTTCGAAGTGGTATGGGTTGGTAGCTCTGTGGAAAGCTGTTGCAACGCGAAGCAGCGTGGCCGAAGCAAAAGGAGTTGGCAACTCTGGAGGGAGTTGTTGCAACATTAGATTCTGCTTTAGCCGAAATGATATGGGTTGACAACTCTGTGGAGAGCTGTTGCAACTCGAAGCTAGCATGGCCGAAGCGAAAGGAGTTGGCAACTCTAGAAGGAGTTGTTACAACATTAGATTCTGCTTTGGCCGAAGTTATATGGGTTGATAACTCTGTGGAGACAGCTTTGGGTTTTGTGCTAATGATGCGAAAGCTTTCGCGTCTTCCCAAGACGCATCAAGGGGGCGTCTGCTTGCTTCGAAGGCACGCCTCCTTTGCCATAAATGGTAATGATGGCGACGACTCCCATTTTTCGGGACGACGCGTTCGGGTTATGTGTGAGACTCACCGCTTCATCAGGACCGTTGATCTTAGTGACCTTTGGTTTCAACAGTGATCTTAGGGTCTTAGCTTTGGACGGCCCAGATGCAATTGGACTTGATCCAACGGCTGGGGTGAGTCTTAAGATGCCTATATAAGGTCCCTCCCTTACATGTTAAGCATTTTACCTTTGCGAAAATCTCTTTCTGACTTTAAAAGTTCTTTATTCATCATTCTTTGCGCTTTCTTCTCCGACAAACACTCAGAACTCCGGCTACCATTCTGCAAATTCCTGGCAAATAACAAGTTTCCGTTGTTGCAACAGTATACTACGCCTTTTGTCAGTTTCTTCATCTTTTTCTTCAAAAATTTCTTTACAACTAGAAATGGCGAGTGAACCTGTATACGCCTTGAGGGTGAGGGGAGTGGAGGTGAGGGGAGTTCTGATTTCAGAGAACCCATAACCATTACTCCGGATGATCTGGGTAGGGCTATTAAGGCCGGAGAGAATATATGGAGGCATCTAGCCTCCCCTGTAGATACTTTGGTTCAATGGGGAGCTTCGAAATATCCTTTGAAAATCACCGTAGAACAACTGGAGAGGTGTAGCAAAATCAATCTTTTCACTTGCAATTCTTTGGCTAACTGAAGTCCAGCTAGAAAAGCCTCATATTCAGCAATGTTATTGAAGCCTTAAATTTGAGCCTTACGTCGTAGTTAAGCTTGTGCTCCTCTGGGCTTTCCAGTACAACACCAGCTCTGGAGCCTGTCTCTATCATCAACAAAGAGGTTCCAGGTGGGAGGCTCTGCTGGTTCCATGTTCACTTCAATTTCAGGGGCCTTAGCAAATTCTGTAACAAAATCAGCTAGGGCTTGACCCTTGATTGTCGTTCGGGGCATGTATGTTATGTCAAACACCCTGAGCTTAGCAGCCCATTTCAATAACCTTCCCGAGACGTCTGGCTTCTGCAGGACCTGCCTCAGTGGGAAATTTGTCAGGACATGAAAGCTATGGGCCTGGAAATATGGCCTCAACTTTCGAGAAGCCGTGACCAAAGAAAGAGCCAATTTCTCCATGTCTGGGTAATGCACTTCGGCAGGCAGTAAGGCTTTGCTTACATAGTAGATTGGCAATTGGTGCGTTTCTTCTTCTCGCACAAGCACTGAGCTGATCGAACCTTCGACTACTGCTAAGTATAACAACAAAGATTCCCTTTTATTTGGTTTACTGAGGAGATGTGTTCATCCCAAGTACTTTTTCAACTCTTGGAATGCCTCTTCGCACTCTGAGGTCCATTGGAACTTTTTACCCCCTTTGAGGACTTTGAAGAAGGGTAAGCATTTCTCAGTGGCCCTTAAGATAAAGCGATTCAGTGCAGCTATTCTACCAGTGAACCGCTGCATTTTCTTGGGCTTCTGTGGTGTCCTCATTTCGATTAGAGCTTTGATTTTCTTTGGGTTAGTCTCTATTCTCCTTTGATTTACAACGTAGCCCAAGAACTTTCTCGAGGCTACGCCAAATGCGCACTTAAGAGGGTTAAGTCTCATGTGATACCTTCTCAATGAATGGAAGGCTTCGGCCAGGTGTTTGATATGCTCCTTGGCTAGGAGGCTCTTTACAAGCATGTCGTCAACATAAAATTTCATCGTTTTGCTGAGCTGATCAGCAAACATCTTATTGACTAACCTTTGGTAAGTCGCCCNTCGCCCTAGCGTTCTTCAAACTAAAGGGCATCACCTTATAACAGTAAAGCCCCCTATCAGTGATGAAAGATGTGCTGTCCTCGTCGCCTGAGAACAAAATGATTTGATTATAGCTGGAAGAGGCGTCCATGAAGCTTAACAATTCATGCCCAGCAGTTGAATCTATTAACTGGTCGATTCTTGGGAGTGTGAAGCTATCCTTTGGGCAAACCTGATTAAGGTTAGAAAAATTGATACAAACCCTCCATTTGCAGTTGTGCTTCTTCACAAGTACATGGTTTGAAATCCACTTTAGATAGTTAGCCTCACGGACAAAACCATTACTGATAAGCCTTTCCACCTCTTCTTTCAGGGCCTTATACATTTTTGCATTCAACGCCCTCCTCTTCTACAACTGACTTTAGGGTCTATTCCAATCATGTCTTCATGTCTCCATGCGAAGACATCTGAGTTCTTTCGGAGGAAGTCTTTTAGCTCTTTCTTAATCTCATCTTCCAATTCTTTACCGACCTGTAAAACCTTTGACATATACTGGGGTCCACTGGGAATGTTTCTAGTGCTTCCATTGGGGCAGCTTGTGATTCCGACTCGATTACCCTAGGATCCAGCTCCTCCAAGGATATTTCAGATCTGGCCTCTGCCATGATAATGTCTCGCGTTGGAAGCTGCCCTTCTTCATGGGCCTTTAACATTTCGGCATCTACTACCATGTTAACTCGTGGCTCTGCTTTCCTTAGGGCATTAAGATAGCATTCCCTGGATCCCATCCGGCTGCCTCGGACAGTAGCAATCCCTCGTTCTATGGGGAATTTCATGCAGAGGTGATGGATGGAAATGACTGCCCATAGCTCTTTCAGGGCGGGTCTCCCCATAACTCCGTGATAAGCGAATGGGCGATCAACAACTAAAAATTCCATGAAGTGGTGTGCCACCTGGGGCGAGACCCCCATCTCAACAGCCAAAGTAATTTTACTCCAGGGAATGATGCCGTCTCCAGTAAATCCATAGAGGGGCGAGCTCACTGGTGTGAGCACATGGTCCACTGCCATTTTGTTAAAAACTGTACCGAATAGGATGTTGACTGAACTTCCATTATCCACTAGCATACGTTTCGACCCGTTGCGGGCTACCACGACCCTGACTACCAGAGCGTCACAGTGTGGGAAGTGCACACTTGCCGCATCTTCCTGGGTGAATGTGATAGGCTTTCAGTCCTTCCACTTTGTAATTGGCTTACTATGTAGCTAGCCATTGGTGGAGCTATCGCCTCCCTGGTGTAATTCATTTGTGCATTTTTTTTTATTCATCTCCTACATGAGGTCCTCCAATGATGGTGTCAATTTCACGAATGGGTTGTTGAATCTCTCCTAGGGCGTTGCCCATTTCGGGGCCTCTCGCTATCATTGTTTCTGTCGTGACGGGTAGAGTGTCACCTTGTTTCACCCCTCATTGGGGAGCTGCGCCTCGGATTGTTACCTTGATAGTGGTTATCCCTGGCATCACGGGGGTTGCTTGTAGGCCTATTCGTCCATCTACATTCGCTTGTGTCATGGCCATAATAGCGATGGATGGTGCAGTAGGTCGCATCTCTTGAGACCTATCTTTAGGCCTTCTACTTCTTCCCCTATTTCTAGAGGTTGAGGGTAGTCCAGCGTTTCTAGCCGGGTTGTTTGTGTTTGGCCCAACATGTTTATAAGCCAAGGTGGGGACTATATTCAGAGTGGCAATGGCTAGTGCTTGTCTCGAAGTGGGAGCTACAATATGTCCGGTCTGAGTCCATTGCTGGCTTACTATTTGAGGGGTGGGTCCCCTGCCTATCTGCTTCTAAGGAGGTGGGAGCCCTTGGGCAGCTCTGTTTCTGTGGTCAATCATTTCTTCATTGAAAATCTCAACCTTCATCATTTCCACCAATTCGTCATATGTCAAAAGGTTCTTGCTTCGGACATCTCTCCAAAAGTGTTCATGTTTAGCCCTCATTTCAAATGGTTCTTGCTTCAGACATCATTTCCACCAATTTGTCTGTAACTTGCTCACAATAAGTTATCTCGTCAGCGAAGCGAGTAAGGTAGCTCTTTAGAGTCTCCCCTTCTACTTTCCTCATGTCTTGCAAGTGTTGAATCGACGCCTCACCCTCTTTTCTTGAATGATATTGGTTTAGAAATGCCTTTTTCAAGTTTGGCCAACTTCTTCTGCTAAGTGGTGCCAATCTACTGTACCACAATTCAGCAGCTCCACCGAGAGTTAGATGGAATGCCCTGCATTTGAAAGCTGGCGAGGCGCCTCAGAGACTCATTTGTGTTTTAAACTTGTTGAGATGTTTCTTCCGATCGCCCTTTCCTTCGTATTTGGGAATCTTAGAAGGGACAAAGTTATGAGGCATTGGAAATGTGCGAAGTTCCCTGGAGAAAGGCAAGTTGTCATCATCATCATCATCATCCAGTCATACGGCCTACATGGTTCGTCAAATTCATTTCCATCTGCAGCTGGACGAGGTGGATGCTGGGCAGTTTCGACTCCGTTCCCCCAATCCACTAGATTTCGCCTCTCTCGTCTATTTCTAGGTGGAGGGGCTTAAACCTCTTAGCTTTGTGCACGTTCCTACTGACGAGCTGTTTGGGGCTGCTCTTCATACTCCGGGGGGAAATTATATTCTCCTGTCGGGTCAGCCGGAGCGACAGTATAGTTGAAAGTGTCCATTCCCACTTCTCTTTCAATAGGGACTTCTCCCTAGGGACTCAGGTGAGTTCTCCTGCTAGATCTCGCCTCAGTTCGTCTATAGGCTGACTGTTGGGGATTTTGTGGGGCTTAAAAACCACCCTGATTTTGCACCTGCATAAGGAGCTCTTGCAAAGCTGCATTCTGGGCTGCAATGGTGGTCCTCATATTGGTAGCCATGTGGGCCACTTCAGCAGTTAATTGTGCGGCAGTTCTACCACCTCTATGATAGCGGTGGTGAGGTCGTTGCTGCGTAACATGTGTTCGGATGACCTTTTCTTCAGAGACATCCCTTGCTTTCCTTGTATTCGCCTCTTCGTCGCTCGAACTCAAGATTCGAAGTGGCAAGTATAGCAAGGCAGTAAGGATGATCCTTTTTTAGGGACCAATCCATTTTTCAAGGGAAAATATCGACCGGATATTCGAACAGCTTTTTGGTGGGAAGACTCGTGGTTAAAGTAAGTTTCCCACAAACGGCGCCAATATGTTGACCTCGAAAAATGGCTCCGGCACGTGGCCAACAAAATAAGTCTTCAAGTCAACTCTTCCCTGCACACGTAGCATGCTGTTAGTCATCCGTGGCCTTTCCCGGACGGGTAGGGAGCGGTTGCAAGCACTCCGATAGTCAAGTCAGTTTGTAATTCAACAGGAAAAAGGTTCGGCAGCGGTAGAACACTCGCTGGGAAGTGGTTGATAAAGCGTATGGTAATAAAGTGTCAATACTTAAAGGAAGATAATACTTAAATTTGCAATGTAGTAAGGGAAAATCTTGATTCGACCATATCTGATCCCAGTGTGTGGGCCTCTCCTTCTTCTGGCACAATGAGAGGATATTTATACTAAGAATGAGAATAGGAGAGTCGTTGGATGAGGAGACACGTGTTATCAGATCCTCAGGGCTCATCCCATCCTAGGTGTCAATTCGTCTCTGCATAGGTTGGCTGACATTGAATGTCTCTAACAAAAGCAGTTAAATTGACTGTTTGGGTCCTGCCACACGTCCCATCAGTTAGGGATTTGACTTTGGAAAGATCTTTATACAAAAGATTTTTGATGGGCGAGGTGAGGCGAGGCGAGGCAGGTGAGGCGTTGCAGCGTTGTAGAAGCAGAGTGCAGGCCTTTGTATCCACGGTATATTTGCGGATGAGTTCAGTTCCTTCGCTGACGCGTGTTCAGTTCGTTCCTCATGTAATCATTTCGGCATGCACAATTAGCTCATCCCATGTACAATCAACTCGATCATCGTGTGGCGGGCGTGGTGTGGACCACCTCTACCGACACGTAGCGGGTGAGGTGGCGGGTCCGACACAGGCCCGTAACAATAATCCAACAAATAATTCCAAAGTTCAAGTCTCAGCTCCAATATGATCTGTTAGCCCATATTACTCCAAAAAGTATCCATGTGGTTGAAAATATAAAAAAAGGA